GTCACGGCACTCGAATTTTTTTTTACAAAAAAGAAAAAAGGAAATTTTTTTTTTTTTTTTTATCATCGGCCAAGTTAAATTTTCAAGTTAAAAAAAAAAGAGAGAGAGAGAGAGAGAGAGAGAGAAACGGACCCTTTTTTAAATTAATTTGGCAAAGCGAAATTGCCGGGCAGTGAGCGCGCGGTTCTGGGCAAGAGAAATGGTTTAATCCGATTAAACGATTCGCGTTACCATTTTACTCTTAATCGAGTCACGAAGGCATTAACATCGTTATAAAAGAGATTCTCATGAGAATTTTGACTTCTCAGTTTTCTTCCAGAACATTCTTGCTTCCCCTCCCCCTCCTCCTTCTTCCCCTCTTCCTCTTCCACCTATTCTTCATTCCTATCCACTCCCGGCATACCTTTCCCGTTTATATTCAAAAACCTTTCGGATTTTCCCCTTAAGCCTCTTCTTTTAACTCTCTCCCTCTCTCTCTTTCTCTTTCCCCCCTTCTCCTCTCTCCTCGTTCGCGGAGACCACCATTTTCTTTTGTCTCTGATTATTTTACATTAATAATAATAATAATAATAATAATAGATTTTCTTTAAACTAATCCGAAAACGGATTTTTCTCGATTTATTATTAATATGTACTTATTTCTTTGATTTTTTATTATTTTTCTTAAAAACGGAAACGGAAAAGGAAAAATTTTTATTTAAAAACCGGAAATTGATTTTATATATATATATTTTTTTTATTAGAACTTCCGGGAAAACAATTTATTAATTTATATTAATTTTTTTTTTTTTTTTTAGATTTAATTAACATTTTTTGCATCGGAAAAGCAGGAGGATTTTGAGGAGGATCATTTTCGGATTTAAATATATTCAGGTAGGAGTTTAAATATTATTATTATTATTATTACGCGTCGGAAAAAAATTCGTTTGTGACGTCATTTAATTTAATTTTTATAATTTAAACCGCGTACGATGAATACTCTTTACGGTCCTTAAACGGTTAAAAAATAATAATTATAATGTTGATGATGATGATGATGATGATGATGATAATAGAAAATTTACTTTGAAGGTAAGGTAAAGTAATAATGATGATGATGATGATGATAGATATAAAAAAAAGGGATGAAAAGGGAATGAATATAGGCAGGTTTACGTATTTTTTTTGTTAAAAACGGTTGAAAATTAAGTTTGCAAATATGAAAAACTGGGGGGGGGGGAAGACGGTAGGGAGGCCGCCGACCCGCCGATATGGGCCCCAGAATGAATAATAAATAAACTTATCGTTTAGTTCATATTTTTAAGAAGGATATTCGAATACGAAATGAAATTTGCATGAAAAAGAGAGAAAGATCAAAGGAAAGGTTTGAGGGAGGGGGATGGGTAAGGAGGGAGGGAAAAAAAGGGAATTTTCCAAAATTTCCCCGTGTTTCACTTTCCTACACACACACTCTCTTTCTTCCCCTCCTTCTCTCACTCTTCCTACTTTTTTTTTTTTTTACGCGAGGATCTCGGGAAAATTTTCCTTCCCTAAATCGTGTTGTAAAAGTAAAATCGTCGTGAATCGATTTACAATTGTTTTTATCTGTTTAGCTTACGTGTTATAAGATTTACCGAAAGGAGAGAGAGAGAGAGAGAAAACTCGTGATGCCAGCCACACGACGTGGAAAATGGCCCACATATCGTGTAAAACTTCTGGAATTTTTTTTTAAAAAGAAAATATCTCTTGTTTCGTGTGTGTGTGTGTGTTTTCCCCCAACCTCCCCCCCCTCTCTCTCTCTCTCTATCTCTCCCCCACCTTCCGGTTTTACATCTTATTTTAGTTTTAATTTTTAATTTCAAATAATAAAAAAAAAAAATAATCGAGAAAGATTAAATCAAAGGGAAATGAGAGTGAGAGAGAGAGAAAAGGGATGTAAAAGTGGAAGAAGAAAAAGAGATTTTCTTTTGATCGTGTAGATACAGTGTTGCATTTAATCTTTGTTGTTATGAAAAAAAAAAGAAAATATTTCACTCGAGTTTGAAATTTTTGGTAAAATCGAGAAAGAAACGAAGGGAAAGGGATTCGTCGTGTAAGATGACGATGAGGATTGTGTCGTGTAAATAGAAAATAAAAATGAAATTATTACAATCGGATACGTGGTAATCAAACAACCCCTAAAAATGATTATTTGATTTTCAATACAATAATTTCTATTCATTAACCAACCCTAATAATTTTGAAATTTCACCACCCGAAACCGAAATATATATTTGGATAAATTAATGAGAATATTTATTTTTAAATTAGAAATTTGTGTGCGTGGGTGCGTGTGCGTACGTGCGTGTGTACGTGCGTGAGTGCGTGAGGGGATCCCCAAATAATAGTTTGGGATTTACAGGTGAAAGTATATAATTGTTAGAAAAAGTTGAAAATAACGTTTTTTTTTTTTTTTCGACAGTAAAAAAGAAAACATTTGCGAATGAGGAGTGGGGGTGGGGGGTTGGTTGGTTGGTTGATGATATCGTGTTTGCATATGGATGTAAAATAGAAGTGAAGGGTAGGGAGTTTATTGGACAAATAATGGGGGAACCCTTAACTATATATGCCCCGAAGGTGACGCAAGAACCACGCCTTCGTTCTCTTCGTGAAATACAGACTCAATTTTATAAATTTTTCTTTTTTTTTTTTTTATTTGGTAAAGTGAGAGAGAGAGAGAGAGAGAAAAAGGGGGAACGAAATGTAGGAAGTCAGGAGGGAGGGGGGAGAAAAGAGGAAAGAAAGAAAAGGATAGAGAAAAAAATGGGTTATAATTTTTTTTTTTTTTTTACCTTTGGCAATTTCTTGTCCTCCCTCTCTCTCTCTTTTCTCCCCTTACCTCCCCCCGATATGATTTTATATATACTAATAAATTTTTTTTTATTTTATTTATTTCTAGAAAGCAAAAAAATTTAAAAAAATTATTTCGCGTCGTTTTCGT